AAAGGACACTAAGTTTGCATACTTCCTTTTCTAATCACTTTCAGAAATTGCTTGTTAACTGATTTTCAGCTATTAGAAACCTTTGGATTGACAGGTTTGACAGCACTGGGTGAGTTTCCTTCAATCCTTAGTGAAAGAAAGTTTTAACTACAAGTTTAAGAACTTTTTTTAAAAAAAAAATAAACAGCAAAATGCCATGGAATACCACTTTGCCTTAAAAAAAACCTATTCAGGACCCAACTGTGTTTAAAGATATTTCCAGGGATTGGCTACACTTCAAAATTATGTGTTTGTTAACACAGTCACACACACACATATCCAAAGACTCAAGGCAGTTTGCAATTAAACAAAGCAGCAACAAAGTTCAGCATAAATAATATATGATTGTCCTTTTGCCTTCACTACCCAATCACCCAGAAGTTGTGGTGTTGGGCTCCTGTCCCTTCCTTGAAGGGTGAGAGAACCTTCAGCATATCATACTTCAGAGACTATGGGATGGACTGACTCTTGGTGGGAAAACAATACTGGTGATACACCCAGGAATACATAAACTTGATTGGTCTTTGGCTTCAGATTAACAACAACAAACAATAACAAGGATTAACAACAACAACGAAGTTAAATCTGGCATTATTCTTCTCCATCTTCCAATTGCAGCACTGCCACATGCTCCAGTAAAGTAGTTTCTAAAAATTAATTTCTTTTTTCAGATTGGATCTGTCTTGCCTGTTGAAAGACAAGATATATTGTCTTTCAAAAATTATCCTATTTAATTACTTCCTTAGTCTCTTGGCAGTCATCTGTGTTACAAGCATCCAAACCATTTGGCAGTTGTAGCTTCTCTGAGTAAACGTTGGGAATTTTAGGTGGTGGGTTTTGTTTTGGTTTGTTGCACGCTGAGAAAAATCTGTTAGGAATTCTACATTCCCTCATGAAGTGAAATTCCGAAGTTTTTTTGGAGAGAAACCATGATGTTTAAACGGCTTGTTGACGGTTGTTGTGTAGACTTTCCTTTATGTGATGCTATTTATAATGACTCTTATTTTCTATAGGCAATGCATCTCAAAAATATTGAAGCAATAGGATGCAACATTAAATGTCCATTTTGCTGAAGGAAAAGTTAATATGTCTAGTATTCAATTTAATATATTTTTGTTTCCACTCATTTCAGAGTACCTGGAATAACAATTGCTACAGACGTCATTTGTGGGTTTCCAGGGGAAACAGATGAAGATTTTCAAGAAACCATGAAACTTGTTGCTGAGTACCGGTTTCCAAGTCTTTTTATTAACCAGTTTTACCCACGCCCTGGGACTCCAGCTGCAAAAATGCATCAGGTTCCAGCTCAAACAGTAAGAGTTACTTTTTCCTTTCCATCTTTAAAGAGCACAACATTTTAGGTGAAATATGTTGTGCACATGATATATATATATACTAGATGCTGCTGATTCTTTTTTTTTTTAATTTATTTTGCAGTAGATTGAGGGCATGATTCAAATGGAACTTTATTGGTCTCATTTAGTTCAAAGTTTTGTTGAAATGTCTTACATCATTATACTGTATATATAATGTACATTGCATATGTACTTGAAGGGCATTGTTACCTAACACAAAGTTGGAACTTTCATTGTAATATATTGTGTTTTTTGTAGCACCAGATTCCTGATGATACAGTTCAGAGAACGGGAGAGATAGAGCAAGATAATGTTAGAGAAAGGACATGTCAAAGTGGAATGAGCTGCTCAGATCTCCCAAATAATCTTTTTCCAATCTCAGTGACCAATCTTCACTGTCTCCCTGAGGGCATCAAACATTGGTGCATATTGATTCATTTCTTTGCACTGAAAGGATATTTTCTGTCATTTGTGTTCTTGTTTCTTTCCCCTCCTTCTTTCCCTCCCTTAACTGGACAAGGGGATAGTTTCTCATTTCCCAGGAATCTTTGCATGTAAAATTGACCTACATTATCTGAGATCAGGTAGAGACTTCTCAAGTTGATTGCAAGTCCTGTTGGGCATGTCCACATATTTTTTTCTTGGCAACAATAGAGAAGTGGTTTGGTATTTCCTTCTTCTAGAATTTTTTTTTGTTTTACTTCCCAGTCCTGTCTGAAGATTTCCTGGTAATCTCCCATTGAAATATTAACCAGGTCTATCTCTGCTTACCTTTTCCAAGATCAGCCACTAGAACAGATGCTGTCACTCAGCTAAAGCATTTCTTCAGCCACATATGATATGCACAGAGGGGTTTTTTTCCCAACTTTAATATTTTTCAGCCAGTATTTTATTAGTTCTGATTGATGTATGATCTCTTAGATTGATTCAAATTGAACTGCTATAAAATGAGATCACTAATAATATTTGAATCTACAGGCAGGACCTCTAGCAAAATCTACTTTCATTTTCCATATGTCTTTTATTTCTCCTATGGTGCTCTGATTTCAGTAACTGGATTGGATGTAGAGTTGTAGGAATAAAATTCTACACGTGTAATAGGGCCTGCATGCCATCTCTTTCTCATTGCAACCCACTACACTCCTTAAAAAGCTATTCCTAAAAGCAAAGGGACATTCTCAAACACAATAGAATATAACTCCGTTTGTTTGATTTCACTGATTCCCCCTTCCATTTTACCTTTCCAAGCCACTTCCAATGGATGAAATCAGTGGAAGTGGTAGAAAGTGGAAGTGTGTTGCATGAGTGCATCTTTAGTCTGGAGCCACTTCTATGGCTGTATTCACATGTCATGGTAATCCCAAAAATGGGTTCTTTCATTTTGATTTAATAGAACATGTAAACCTAACCATTGTGGTTTGTATTCCATGGTTTTATGAACATACCATAAGAACATAAGAATAGCCATGCTAGATCAAGCCAAGGCACATCTTACTTCCACATTTTGTTTCTCGGAGTGAACGACCAGATGCTTCTGTCTTGTTTCTATTATTCCCCTGCAACTGGTATTTGGAGATACACTGTCCTCAACTTAGAGGTACCATTGTGTCTTCAAGACTAATGCCCCTTAACAAACCTCTCATTCATGAATTTATCCAATCCTTATTTAAATATGTGAACCCAGCCAATTATAGCTTATTCAACAAGTCACAGTTAAAGAAACCATGAATTTATGCAATATATGAATGCAGTCACAATCATGAAAGATTGGAACATATTCACACCTTATCACACATACAGATATATTTCCCACATTTTTGAAGGACTGCTATGTGGACAAATTACTTTCATAATTTTCATTATAAATCTGTCCTAATTATGAGCTTTCCCCCCATGTGCTAGGATGGGTGTGGTCAGACTGTGATGAGAATGTTGTGGGTTGCATCAAGGAAGTGTGGTTGTGGCACCAGGTTTTTCTGTTTTGAGTTTTATTGTCCTTTAGTTTTATGGTCGTATGTATTGTTTTTATTGGTTGTAACCCACCCAGAGTTGGTTTTTAGATGGGCAGCTATACAAATGTTTTAAATAAATAAATAAAATATCAAATTATGTTATTGCTAATACAGTTTAGAAGTTAAAATAGCATCTTGCATTCTTCTGTTCCATAAACACTTGCTTCATATTTATATCTACTATAAATACACGGCAGTATTAAATATAACATCAACCGTTAGCCTTTATAATCATTATACTGAATTATGCAAATATTGATTAAATTTTCAAGAACAAACTTATTTTTTATTCTTCTAGAGGCTTTTTAAAATGCAAATATACTGAGTAAGATGACAAATAGCTACATTTTAATTCACTGAGAAAGTGTAATTTTGCTTTTGATCATAAGCTGGGATAATTATTCTTTTTTATTTTTTTTTATTATAACTCTTTTTTAAAAGGAAGGTATATGTCTAATTTGGGGCAAGTAACTATCAGTGTTAACAGATACAGTTAATATAATATGAAATTATTTTAAAACCAAAAATTATTCTATCAATAAATATTACAATATAATGACTTCTGGGGAAGAAATGGAGGACTGAAGATGGCTCTGCGAAAGGCATTGCTGACAACCTCAGCAGAATGAAGATCCAGCAAGTAGACCAGCTCTTCAATAGTTCCTCTGGACAAGGAGAGAACTTTAGATCACCCACAAGTGTTCCAGACAGCTGCTCCTCACAAAGAGATCACAAGACAGCGGGTTTAGAGCTCTGGGAGATGAGAGATTAACCATGTTGCTCATACCATGGTTGGTACCTTTGAAAGGTCATTGGGTTCACATACTTCTTTTCTAATCACTTTCGGAAATTGCTCATTAGCTGCTTTTCAGCTATTAAGAACCTTTGGATTGACAAGTTTTATAGCACCGGGTGAATTTCCTTCAATCCTTAGTGAAAGAAGTTTTAAATACAAGTTTAAGAACTTAAAAAAAATTGGGGGGGGGGGAGGGAATAAACAGCTAAAGGGTGATTGAAACTTTGATTTTAGAAAGTTACAAATGAACTAAGAGCCCAGATAAATTTGAAATAGGATTTTGGAATTAATTATAAAGAATCCTTCCTGTGGAAAAATGCTGTTGTTTTTCATTCTTTT